TATATATAAAATAACCGAATTGGTTGTTACCAATTCGTTACTAAAAAAAAATAATGATAACGACGTTAAAACATTATTACTTTCAATTCTGTGTAATTAACATATGTGAAAATTTGTATTAATTTTAATGTGATCGAAATATTTTTACTTAGATATCTGGAATAGACAAAACATAATTAAAAGATTTATTCATTTATTCTATTCTTCAAAAACAGACAAATTTCTCACTTGAAATAACTTAGAATAACTTTATTGAAACTCATCATAATTAGATGTTTAAAAAAGCATTTTACAGCTTCAAATCTCTACTTTTCAAATCGGTACGTTAGAAAATAATCTTACTGATATTTTATAAAATTACATAGACATAAATAAAGATGCGTTAACTTTCAAATTTTTTATAAAGTTTCTCAGTGCGAAATAAAAATTATACACAAATATGATATAGCATTTGAAAGAGTAAATCTTTACCTTTAATTTGCTTTTTTGTTGAGCATCATATATGAATCTTCTTTTCATTGAATTCTATTCAACATTAAAGCAAAAACGAACTCGGTGAAAAAAATCGTTGATCCGAAAAGTAGAGATTTCAAGATATAAAATACTTTTCTAAATATTATTATGATGATTTTTAACGTTAAGTTAATCTATCTTAAAATTTGCTTGTTTTTGAAGGATAGAAGACAAGTAATTTTAGCCGCTTTTTAATTTTGTTAAGTAGTATATTATCCTACTTTGAAACATCTTACTTGTGCTGCAATGTGAGATAATGGCAAATAGCTGACTATGACTTCTGATTTTTCTTTTATACGTAGCACTAGTAATAATGCCCGTATGCCGAACAATAAATTATCATGGTTTACCATTACAGCTTTTGGATTTCCGACTGTCCCCGACTGTAAAGATTACAAATAGGAAAATAATATATTAAATATTATAGCAGTTGCAATTTGATTAAATGTGATAAATTCAACGTACCGTATACACTAAACTGCAACATTCGTTTATTCCTATCGTTTTTAACACATATGATAATTTATTCTCCGATTCTCTCTTACCTATGTCCAATAAATCACCCCACTAAAGAAGAAACAATAAATGATAATAAGTTATATGTACTAAAAAGTACACAATAAAAAGATTTTAGAGAAGTATAATAATCAATTTACGCTCAAAATATCCTTTTCGGTAGGTATGCCGTCATATTGAACAATTACTTTCAAATAGGATAAATTGTGTTTTATTTGCAAGATTTTCCGCAAATGCTTTTCATTTTCAACGACTATTATATTTGCTCGACTGTATTCAGCGCAATATTGGCATGCCTCCGGAGAATTTGTGGTATAAATCCCTGTCGCGATTCCACTAAAAAAAAAAAATTTTTTTTAAATTATCGTACAGCTATATAAATAATACATATATATTGTGATAATATGTAAATAGTATATATGCATGTAAATTATTATATTATATGTGATGATCTTATTTAGACATAAACAATTAAATTTTTTTACCCAGCGTATATAGTTGCGAGTTCAGCAATGAACCATTCCGGACTATTGAATCCTATTATGCAGACGCTATGATATCGCTCTAAACCTAATTTTAAAAACGCTTTTGCGACGATTCTTACGGTAGACTCGTATTCTCTGTAATACAAATTAACAAAATTGTATAAATTGTACAAAATTGATTATATCACTTATCGGAATAAATGTAATTACTAAACTCATCGAATTTTCTTGTAAACCAAATTGAAAAAAACAGAGAAAGAATCTGAACAAAAGCAATATTTATATTTATAATATATTTGTACATAGTAAAAACTTTTGTGTTAAATTTATCACATTTTACATGTCCAACGGTCCATCCAAATTTTTGTGTTAATTTAAAGAAAGATGAATATGTTAGAAAGTAACACAAATATTATGTAAAAAATTAACACAAGAAATGTAATGCTTTGATACAATTTATACAACATAAAAATAAATTTTATGTTAAATTGACACATTTATAATATTAAATTTAACTGAAATTAGATGCTACTTTTACATTTTTAGATTAGACGATGTCTCTGTGATATTTGACGCAACATAGATTTAACAGATATTTACTGTTACAAAGAGGAAATAACACAAAATATCAGTATCTTTTTACATGTACGTAAAATATGTATAATAGTTGAACAGAACATATTTTTTAATTAACATTAAATAAAATTAACATTTATGATGTATTAAATCAACATTTTATCCATTTATTTTTAGAATTTATGCTTTAACACTACATTATTTTTGTTATTTGTTTACCTATAAATTGTGTTATTTTAACACTGAGAAATGTTAAATTTTAATTTAACACAAAATATTCAAATAACATAATCACATTATGTTAAATTAAAACTTGGATATATTAAAAATTCAACATAAAAATTTGAATAAGGATTCGTTTTAACATAAATACAAAATGTTTTTTACTGTGTAAAAATATATATATATAGAGAAATTAGTTATACAAGTTTTATCATATCTACATATACTAGAAGAGATTAGGAACATAGGTAAGTTCTAACACTTACAAAAAAAACAATATATTTAAAACAATAAATTTAAAAACAATAAATTTAAAAACAATATAATTATAAACAAAATACAGAAGTGTAAGACAGAAAAAGGTAGAAGTTTGTAATTATTCATATTATAAATTTTTATTTATTCCTAACGTTTGTGTATTTTCTTTATAATTATATTGTTGTAACATAATATTTTTTAATGTAAATGTTACAACTTATTCGTTTTACTTTTAACTCAAGTTTCTCTTGTTGTAATAATATTTTACTTGTTATAATAATAAAGGAAACAATAGCCTTGTAACTTTTTTATACATACTGGAAAGTATATGTGGTTCTTTTGCCGTTGATATCAGGTCTAGACACCAACGCTATGTGATCAGGGTAAAGCTTTGCTGTTCTAGTCAAAACTCCAGGGATTGATACGGGTTGATATAAATTGAATTCATTGTTATCTAATTTTATTCGTACTCTGCCATCGGCATTACATGTGGTATCTGCGTCTGTAAATAGTACTTGATCGGGTCCTAAAAATATTCAAATAATAAATATTTATTTCTTTTATTTAAAAAAAATTAACAATATTATATTTATTTGAAAAGTAATATTTTACTATTTTTATTTAAAAAAATAACAATTTATGAAAAATTATTAATTGCTTGATGGGAAAGAAGAAAAAAAGATATATTTTGTCGTAGGCAGAATTTATAAGTAATTGTCTATGTAAAGCAGGATAAATGATAATTATGCATTAATATTTTGACATTTGCAAAAGAAAAGAGGAAGGGAGGGAAGGCGGGAAGAAAATGGAGAGGGAGAGAGGAGAGAAAGGGGAGAAGAGGGAGAAAGAGTAGAGAAAGGAGGGAATGAGGAAAAGAAAGGAGGGAGGGAGAGAGAAGGAGGGGCCGATTGATAAGTTCAATTACTGTGTGTAAAAAAACTTTTAAAATATATTGTGACAAAATTACCATCGAGGCCGGTTTCACTAAACGATGCATATTTAGCCGATTGATTCATTTCCTACAACAAATTTTACATCCAATTTGTTATTTAAATATTAAAATGTTATGACATTTATTATTTTTACATGATTTTGAAAATAAAGTGTAACACTGTTTATTTCATGTTTTAATAATAACCATCCAGAGATTGGGTTGGACAATAATAATCATCCAGAAAGACAATGTACTAATATCAGTAATTATTAAAAAAGAAAATTTAATATATAATAGCTTTTTAAATACTGAACCTTTTTTGCACGTCCATTATTATTAGCGCATAAGGTTTAGGGAATTGAAATTAATGAATAAATCAAATAAATGATCAAATCCAACATACAGTCTAACAATTACATAAATAATGAATTTATTATTTATTTTGAATATTTTTGGAATTTTTCAATTTTATACGTATATATATTATCTGCGGTTTGCAATATCGCTACAATATAATAATTAAATAAGTTATCCCAGAGGAGACAGATTTTTAAAGGTTATTGTAAAGATTTCCGGAAGCTGTCAGTTCCGATATTTGAAATCGGCTATATTTAACTTATTTTTTTAACTTTAAAGTACCATGCGATCAAAGACATATTAGTATAATAAATAATAAATTATTTAGTATTAATAGTAACCAATAGAAATGTATCATAAAATTTGTAAAATGTGAAATGAATACGTGAAAGTAAAGCATGATAACAAATAACAAAAAAAGACGTGATTAACGTGGTAGCATACAATTAAATTAATATATAACTAATTAAAGGAAAAAAGGCAAATAGAAATGAGAAACAACAAAAAATTATATATGTATATTCAATTAAGACACAGTTTCAATATGCATGAAAATCTAATTTTGCGATATTTTCAGAGTGTTTCCACTCCCGTAATCGAATATTAACAGCTAAAAAATTATTTTGCGATTAGGTCTATGTATTTTAAACATATGAAAAATTTCAGATATTTATTTTGGATTTTAAACTAATCGAACTTTCTTTGTTAAGAATCTGAAAAAAAGTGAATAAGATTATTAATCTATAGGTAATATAGATATTCGGCTATTGTTGAAACTAAGATTATCAACTACTTTCTCAATCATTTTAAGACATAAAAATTGTATTTACTAAATTGCTATAAAAATCGACAATTTTACGTTAAGAATAAAATTTAAAAAATTAATATTTTAATTTCACTAATTTTAACTATAACGGAACATATTTCAAATGTAGTGGTCAGCCAACTACATCCGCCAAATGAACCACTCACATGAACTTTAAATGATTCGATTAACTATAAATGCTTATAATTAAAAAGTTATTAGCCTCTACATTTTGATATGATTTTCATCTCAAAATATGATTTCAGGAATTTATCCTTATGCGTTGTTACGGTCTTTATGTAATACTCTGTACATGTAATATATAAATAAAAGAGTACAGTAATAGAATTGGAACGGAATTTAACATACAAAAAAGATACGTACAAAAATTGAAATAGATAAATACTTTTGAGCATAGAAATCCTTTCTTCAACGAAGAACTCGTTTATTTTCCGTTATTCACTGATAATTGTTCAGGCTTCTTTGAAAACTTCCATTATTTTATGATTCCGTGCGATCGTTTGTCTCGAAATTCGGTTTACTAATTATGTTTAGTACACGATTATCTTTTTTTTTACACTTTTTCGATCTATTTTTATATAATACGTAGCTGAAGTTTTACTAAACAAAAAACACGATCCAGTTTTGATCGTAAACGCATATGATTGTTTCGAATAATTCGAATATATTATTGCGTAGTAGAATTAGTTTCCATTGAAATTTGGAAAAACCTAAAACCTTTTATACTTGCTTAACATAAGCTACTATTCGTAAAACTGTTGGAACTATTTTTTCGTTATACAGCTAAAAGTAATTACGGTTAAGGCTATCTTAAGTATTCTTTCGATCCCTCAAGACGAAGATAGAGATTTTAGTCACAGTCGCTTCTGATTGGATAATGAAAAAACATTATTGTTATGGATACTGTGACAAAAAAGACTTGTGGGCCATAACATACAAAAAGTTTAAATAGTAAATAAATTGCTAATCACAATAGAAATCGTAAAGCCAACGTAGGTAATTAACAAATCTATATGCTTTGATTCTCTTACGATTTATTGTTTAAGAATTTTTATGCCTTAAACTCTTTGATTGTGACTTACGCGTTGTTTTAAATAATAAATTGTAACTTTCATACAATTGTCCAAATTTTTCGGATAAGAAGACTATAGATAGATTATTCAAATGAAGTCCTTTCATAAAATATAAAATATCTATCTATCTATCGTCCGCTTTATCACAGACATAGAAGAAAATAGACTTCTTTTTTTGTTTGTTCTTCTTATCATTTCTTATCACAGAAGATTAATAATGCTTTTAATTATCGAGAAAACAGATACGCATGAATAAATCTACTTGCTATGTGACAACACCACAACAGCACAAAAAAAGTAGCTAGTGAGTATGTAAAACATGATGTATAATAATAAGAATTTCTTGTCATACATTATGCTATAAATTAAGTTGCAATTTTCAAAGAGCAAAAGCGACACTTACCACACTTATAATTAAAATATGTATATGTGAAATGATTAATATGATATTTATTACTGACAATAGTATTGTGTTAATGATAAATGTTATATGTTAATCATGTCATTAATAAAATCTTGTTAATTTATTTGTGAATCTAATCAAAGGCATGCAAAAAGAATTATATTCATTATGGATGAAGAGAATAAATTAAAGCACTCGAAGATCAGAAATCTATGTGATTAAATTTTATAAATGTGGTTTTATAATATAGAGCATTCACTACATATCAGAAAAAGAACATTTATAGAACTCAACTACTTGAAATAATCCTTACAATTGCAATATAATGAACATGATAAAAAAGATATAACTAAAGTTATTAGTTAAATAAGCAATAAATTTCAGCATAGCCATCACACGATTATACAGACAATAAAATATTATTTATGTTATTATATATAAAAAGAATAATGGATCTTAATAGCAGAATTAATGATATATGTATGTGAGGCATTTCACATCAAACCTTTAAATCATCATAATTTTTTTTTAATTTGCTGACATTCTATAGATAAAAATATTAAAAATATGAGATACGTGTGAAAAGATTTGAGATTTTTTTATGAAGTTATTTATGCTTGTTGTAGAAATTCATAAAAAACGTCGCTCATTGAACATTCAAGTTATTATATCGTCGAGATTATTAGTTGTACAAAAAAATACAAGAAACTGATTTTAAAGATCTTAAATTATTCGATGAATAGATTATTTTTACTTAATCATTTTCCTATAAGTTAGACCTGTTTAAGGTTTTTTGGCTTAAAATGTGTCGGTATTCACGCCCATTACTTATTACCGTTCCTACTTCTCACTTTATTATTATTTTATCATAGCGCGCGATGCTCTCAAGGACTATAGTCTGAAATCATTTAAATATCATTATATCATTATATGATATGAAATATCATTATATGATATTAATGATGCATACTGATAATGATGTAATATACATATATTTATAGTTAAAATATATTATGAATAATAACATATTTTATAATATTAGTAACACAATACTTTTAAATAGTGAAAAACACAAGTCAAAAACTTTTAAATTATTTCAAATTATAGTGTCATCCGCATTCCTGAGGCCGAGCGTCACGCGCTACGATAAAACAGGAATGAAGTAAGGAGTAGGAACGGTAATAAGTGTGAATGTCGATACATTTCGATTTCAAGTCAAACATTTCCGATCTTGGACAGCTCTAATTTATATAAAAATGATGAAGTAAAAATAAATTATTCATAAAATAATTTAAGATTTTTTTAAATCAATCAATTGTATTTTTTTTCTATTAATAATTTTAATGATATAATAACTTGAATATTTGCATGAGCGACGTTTTTTATGAATTTACGAGCGCAAATAATTTCACAAAATTATTCCGTCCTTGTTGACTTATATCTTATAAATAATATATGTGGAATATAAATAGCTCCAATAACGTCTTTCCGAACACAGATTACTTTAGATTGCTCACTATCAGTTTAAAATTGAATGTTAAGACTGTAACACAGACTCTTGCATAACGCATAATGCATTTGTGTATAAGAGAATCAACCAATCAAAATTCTTCTTTTCCATGGAAGAAGAAATTCTCATTAGTTGTTTCGCTTGTGCACTATGCGTTATGCGTTATGCAAAAGTCTATGCTGCGGCCTTTACATACATGACACTACATCTTTTTCATGCATTTTTTACTATCAATAGTGCTAATTTTTATCACTATTGTATCTATTTTATATATTTTTTGTATATATATTTTGTATAGAAATATACAAAAATGTTTATATTACATTGCAGTAACATATTATTAATATATTTCTGGTATATTATAGAAATAATATGTTCAAAGTTGTTGGCATAGAGCCGTAGGTAATATTTATAGTTACAAATAATATTTACGTGTAATATTCCTGACATTTGTATAATATTATATTTATATTTAATAATAACTTACATGTGTGATTTGTTGGGAATAGGTACGACATATATAATAACTATCTTTTCGGTTTTTTTAAAATTGATCAAAAGAAATCGTTCCCATCACGGTCTCGGCGATGCTTCCCTCATATACCTTTGTGTACTTTATACACACATATGGATTGGCAACATAAACAAGACTATGTCCATATTTTTCGAAAAATTACGTTTTATGTATGCATTTTATATATACGTTGTATATTCCATCTCAGTGAAAAAAAAATGACCGTCAATTCGATATTGAATCAATGTTAATTCAGCTTGTTAAAAAATTCTTCCTTTTTCGATTTTATAAAATTTTATTTTGCATATGTTTTAATTACCTATATATTAATTTTTTTAAAATCTTATTTTGTGTGCTTTGATACAATATATTATTTTTAATTCTGATGATGTAATATGAACG